CTCTGACAGCCGAGCAGCTTGAGCGATTTCTCGACTTCCAGTCCAGTGCCCCGCTGATGCTCACCATGCCCGAGATCTTCAACTTTGTGCTCAGCAGGCTGACGAGCGTGCAGGACTTCATCTCTACGAGGCAGCAACTTGTCCAAGAGTATGCGGATATCATGGCCCGAGACACGCGCGGCCTGTTTTCGAACATCTCCGCTTCCTTCCGCCCAACCATGGCGAGTGCACTCCTCGACTCGCTGACTTTTGCAGGTGGCCTCAGCATCCCCCATGCGCTGACCTCGGTCTTCGCGTTGATGTACTCAGACCAGTCGCCGGCGGGCGAGGCTAAAGATGTCTCCAAGCTGAGCGACGAGGAGGTGGAGCGCTTCGTCTTCGAGGCCGTGCGACTCTTCCCTCCAGTGATCGAGTTCCCCTGGATGGATGCGCGGGACGAGCGGCGAAAGTTGATGATCCAGATGAAGGCACTACGCGACCCAGGCGTCTGGGGTTTGGGCGCCGAGGGCGCGGACGCGTTCTCCCTGAAGCCCTTGGAGAAGTACCAGAACTACTCGGGAATCACCTGGGTGGAGCCGGCCAACGGCCCCCAGAAAGAGGGCCACCGGTGGATCTCCACCCCCACAAGCCGGGGGTGCCCCGGCCAGGACCTAAGCCTCGCCATGATCGTGGGCTTCGTCCAGGACTACTTTTTTTTTTTGTTGAATTCCTTGTGTTTTTGTTGATATAAAACCCAAGAGGATATTGAAAGTTTTCTTTTTATTAAGGTTCTAAGGGGAGGACAGACTAGACCGCTCTTTTTTGACAGTTTGGTAGTTTGCTGTTATCTGGCGGGTAGCGGGCCAACGGGTCCATTACCGTTTCGTAGCTTGGTGAAAGTCATTGTCATCAGTATTGCCAGCTTTTTCATTGACAAGAATAAGAAGTTCTTGCTCTCCTTGTTCAAGATTCCTTCAGTTTCCTTTCTATACGAACAGTTCGGAGGAGTGGCGCCACATGCAGCACGACTGGTATGTCGCCGAGCAGCCCGAGGGCGGGATCGCCTTCACCGGCCCAGCCTACTTTACCCCGCCGGTGGCCTCTCCTTTCACGCTGCGCCGGAAGTCATAGGAATAGGGTTTAGGGTTTACGGCGGACCATGCGAAACAGCGGTGCGCCACTCACTGTGCAAACATGCCACAACACACAGACACAGACACTACTAGGGTTTTGAAGATGAAGCTGTGGCAGACGCAGGCAGGTCTTTAGAGAGGCAGGCCTTGCTTAGCATATCTCGACCCAAAGCTACACAGAAGGTATGTAGTTGAAGACGATCCTATATTAAGATCAGATTACCCTTCCAAGGCCGGGCTCCCTCTAAACCCTAAACCCTAAACCATAAACCCGAAACCCTAAACCCGAAACCCTAAACCCGAAACACCAAAACCCTTAACCCTAGACCCTAAAGCCTCAGCCCCAAAGCCCTGAGCCCCAAGCCCCTTCGAGATCGTGTGGGGATCTGGCCATCCCTGGTGACCCAAGGGTCCGAGTTGATTCAAAAGTATAAGCAGACTTAGGGTTCAGGGTTTGGGGTTTAGGGTTTAGGGTTTAGGGTTTAGGGTTTAGGGCTACTAGGCAGGCCCCCGGCATATTTCTTATTTTCCCTGATTGGGTTTAAGAGGATCATACTCAGGAGTATCTTGCAGAGGGTCTTAAGGGCCATCCTAGGGTATACGGAGACTTAGGGTTTTCGGCTTGGGGTTCAGGGTTTCGGGGTTTGGGCTTTAGGCTTTGGGGTTTAGGCTCTGGGGCTTGGGGTTTAGGGTTTGGGGTTTGGGGTTCAGGGTTTGGGGTTTAGACTTTGAGGTTTGGGGTTTAGAGTTTGGAGTTCAGGGTTTGGGGTTGAGGTGTTGGGGTCACGAGCTCAAGTACGCAGGAGTTGAGTCAGGTTTTGCTTAGGGTGGCCCTTGCTTGACCTGATTGCTAGGCCCCATGGCCAGACATGAGGGCAGGGGTACCCTGAATCTGAAGCGCCGAACTATACTGGGGACCCTATCAGAAGAGAAGTGACCATATACCCTTAACCGAAATCCTCAACCCAAACAGTATGCAGAACCAAAATCGAAGTCAGAAGCAAGGGAGAGGACGAAACCCTAGACCCTAAACCCTAGACCCTAAACCCTAAACCCAAAATTTCAACTCTAAACCCTCAACCCAAACCCCTTCCTTGGCCCATTTAACCGCTGCGCCAAGGCTGAATGCACAGATGTCCGGAACGACCGCCACCGTCGCGATTCACGACCATGCCAGCAACAAGCTCCATGGTCTTCAAGAGGGAGCCCCCCCCCACTTGGGGTTCAGGATTTAGGGTTTAGGCTTCGATACTTCCAAACCCTAAACCCTAAACCCTGAACCCTAAACCCTAAACCCTAAACCCTAAACCCTAAACCCTAAACCCTAAACCCTACACCCCGGCACCGAGAGCCCTGAGGCCACCAGGAGGTCCCAGGCCATAAGGAGCTCGGGGATCAGGTGGCCTTCTCTCCGCCCTATGTTGACCCTTGAAGGGCTTTAGGGTTTAGGATTCAGGGTTTAGAAGTTCAGGCTCTAAGCCCCAAACCCTAAACCCTAAACCCTAGACCCTAAACCCCAAACCCTAAACCCCTGCAAAGAGCCCGTCTGCCAGAAGCCCCTCGATTGAAAGGTTCACCGTCGCCCACGTGGCTGACAGCACAGCAGCCGCTGGCTCGGTTGGGCTCGGAAGCTGTTTGGGAAGCCCTGAACCCTAAACCCCAAACCCCAAACCCTAAACCCTAAACCCCAAACCCTAAACCCTAAACCCTAACCCTAAACGCTCAACCCTAAACGCTTAACCCAAAACCCTAAACCCTAAACCCTAAACCCTAAACCCTAAACGCTCAACCCTAAACGCTTAACCCTTAACCCTAAGACGTCTAAACCCTAAACCCTAAACCCTAAACCTAAAACCTAAACCCTAAACCCTAAACCCTAAACCCTAAACCCTAAACCTTGAGACCCCAAGCGTCTCAGGGCTTCAGAAACCCGAAAGATGGACTTACAAGACCCAAGCCCGTGCCAAGCATTCGAAAGACCCCCAATCAGAGCCAAAGCCATGTAGCGTCTTTCGGGTTTAGGGTTTAAGGCTTAGGGAACTTCCTCACTGCTTTCACCCGGATGTGCCACATTTTTCTCGATTCTCTCAGGGCTTCATTCCTGTTTAACCGCCCGAAGCCAAAATCTTGATCTCCCCGTCAACCTTGAAACCTAAACCCTAGCCGCTTGTCGAGGTCCTGGGCACGAAGACCGGAAGCCAGTGGAAGGGCGTGGCCCTCACCCGCGATCACAAGCCGAACCTCAAGGAAGGGCCCGAAACCCTAAACCCCAAGCCCTAAACCCTAAACCCGAAACCCCAAACCCCAAACCCTAGGTTTTAGGGTTTCGGGTTTAGGGTTTAGGGTTTATGGTTTGGGGTTTCGGGTTTAGGGTTTAGGGGTACCTCGAGTCGAGGACCGTATATTGAGGGGGGGCAGGTAGGTGGAAACTGATAAGATCTCCTCGGCCAACACATCTTCCCTAAGCCCAAAATTCATTGTATTGTTTGGAAAGCTGAACGAATCTCTGACCAGGAGGTCAAGTTTTCGCACATTGCTTGATGTTTTTGGGTGCTTCTCTGCTTGATGTTTTTGGGTGCTTTTCTTTGGTCTTTTCTGTTTGTCTCATGTTTCAGCTTTGCGTGTGCTTTGCTCTAGTGTTCCTTGACTGTTGCGTTTTGCTCTTCAACTTCTCGTGGAATAGTTTTAAAACCCATAAGCCCCATGCATCCATATGAGTCCTTGACGACACGCCCGTGGTACGAGCAAGATGTTTGCAATCGGGCCCCCAACTACCCTGTGTTTTTTTTGCCGGCTTGCCCTTACCAGCCCCTCACCCTCCTTGCCGCTGTGCGTGCTGCAAGCCCGTGCGTGCTCGCCCCCCCTCCAGGGCCCTTGCAAGACTGCAAAGGATCCGAAAAGTCCAGCTGTCCTTCCGCCATCTCTTCCTAAACCCCAGAATCCACAAAGCCCTCGATTCCGAACTCAGGGCCGCCAATCTAGGGCGGCTTATGTAGGCTTGGGCTTCCGGACTTCGGGAGGGTTTACGGGTTTTGTGGCTTAGGGTGCAGGGTCGACCCCAAAAGGAGCAAGCTTCGACCCCAAGCCCTCAACCAAGTTCTTGAGCCCGAATCCTGAGCTTCGGGTACAAGTTTCAGCGCTTTTTGGGGTTTAGGGTTTCGGGTTGAGGGTTTAGGGTTTCGGGTTTCGGGTTTAGGGTTTCGGGTTTAGGGCTTCGGGCCTCCTATGAGCCCCGAATCCGGAGGATGAGAAGGCCCGCATCGAGAAGGCGGGCGGCCGCGTGGTCTTTGATGGCTATGCCAACCATCGCGTCTATGCCAAGAGTGCACGTCCCTGGGCTGCCGTATTATTGGGGTTTCGGGTTAAGGGTTTAGGGTTGGGATGTTCCCCCTTATACTAACAGTCCCCCTTAGGGGCTGTTAGTTAAGGGGGTTCTAACTGCCGACCTTACACACCAGAACCTAAGCCCTAAGCCGGCAAATTTGTGGGTGTAGGCATGAGGGGTTTCCCTAAACCCTAAACCCGGAACCCTGATTTGGGCCCTGAAGACGGCAACCTCAAATCCTGAAGGCCTGATCCCCAAATCCCTGAACCCTTTGTTTTGTCTTAGGGTTTCGGGTTTAGGGTTTAGGGTTTGGGAATGAGGGAATGAGGTACCCGATATCGTCCTTGAAAGGGTATATAACGGGTGAGATACATGTCAACCTTAATAGATTATAGTACCCCCCCCTATTACAATCTCATTGGGGAGCTGTTAGTATAAGGGGGAACATCCCAACCCTAAAGCCCTAAGCCCTCAACCCTCAACCCTAAACCCTAAACCCTAAACCCAAACCCTAAACCCCAAACCCCAAACCCTGATCATACTGAGGGCCCATGGTTCCGACCTTACATCCAAGCCCTGAGGATACCCCGGCTTGAACATGTCTCGTTGCCTGGGCGACCTTTTGGGCCATCAGGCCAGAACTGGACGCCTTTGGCCGGGTTTTGGGGACGGTCACGATATCCATTCCGAAGCCTCAACCCTAACCCTGAACCCTAACCCCAACTCCTAAGCCCTCAAGGCTCAGAGTTTGGGTAAACCCTAAACCTAACCCCTAAACCCTAACTCCTAAGCCCTCAAGGCTCAGAGTTTGGGTAAACCCTAACCCTAACCCCTAAGCCCTAACTCCTAAGCCCTCAAGGCTCAGAGTTTGGGTTTGGGGGGTTCAGGGTTTGCAGCCCAGGGTCGCCGTCGCAGGGTCTTTTTGGTTGCGCTGCATTCAGACGGCCTGTGCGCATGTATGTGAAACAGGGTTTAGGGTTTAGGGTTTAGGGTTTACTGTAGGGTTGTGGGTTTAGGGCCGTTATCGGTGAGTTTATATACGGGTTCCTGTTTAATGTTGGTGAGTGTATATGCTGGTGTCCTTTTGGGGATATCAGGAAAATACACCCTACTTGCTAAGCGCTCTGCCCCTAAACGGAGGCCTTGAACAGGGTGGTGGTAGTGTCCGTAGATGTATATACTCATAGTCAAGGAAAAGACACGCCCGCACACACCCACGTATGTGTGTGTACATATTTGCCCATTCAGGGAGACGGAATTACGCAGCTTACTAAGATGTGGCCCATATGATTCAAGGGTAATCCCACTTGAAGGTTCATGGAATGCGTAGTTGTAAGTAGGGTTACAAGTAAGGTAACGTATATAGAAACCCTAGTTAAGGCACTTACAACCCTACCTACAACTACCCTTTCAAGTGTCCCGAAACCCCAAACCCAAAACCCTACTTAAGGATTATCCACAGTGCTCTGCTTTGCCAGGACTGTGGGATCTCATGTGAGCCTGAAGTCACGTCGTTCGACATCGATGCTCGGGTGTCTTTTGAGATCTCCGCGTTTAGGGTTTGCAGTAGGCTTTAGGCTTTAGGGTTTAGGGTTTTGGGTTTGCGGTTTAGGGACGTGTGGAAAGGTTTCTGGGTTTTGGGGGCTTCTCCGTGTTCTGCTGCTTTGAAGCCAAAGGCTCACAGATGCCAAAAACCTTCTTCAACCCTCAACCCTAAGCCCCAAACCCTCAACCCTAAAGCCTGCTTGAAGGTTCATGGGTGGCTATGAGTAGGGATAAGGTCACCTACATTCTGACCTGAATTAAGGTACTTACAACCCTACCTCTAATTACCCATGAACCTTCAAGTCGATGGCCTCATCCTGCGTAGCCAAGGATAATCAAAAGGAGCAGATCCTGCCCCCCGGCAGCCAATTCGTCTGGAGTTCTTTTGGGGCTCCGAGAGGTGGACGGGGGCGAGCCTTCCACACAAAGGGGTATCCCTAAACCCTAAACCCTAAACCCTAAATCCTAAACCCTAAAACCCTAAAAGCCCTAAAAACCCTAAAAACCCTAAACCTAAAAACCCCAAACCCTAAACCCTAGACCCTAAACCCTATGCCCAAGAATCTAAGGCCTGCAGCCTCCGCCCTGAGGCTTCCCCTCCCTCAAGCAGCCTAAGCCCTAAACCGAAAACCCCTAACCCCAAACCCTAGACCCCAAACCGTATCCCTAAATCTTAAACCCTAAACCCTAAACCCTAAACCCTATATTCTAAACCCTAAGCCCTAAACCCCAAACCCCTGAACCCTAAACCCTAAACCCTAAAAGCCCGCAAGTGAGTTGGCAGAGCCGAGGTTCCTCTGCAGCGATGGTGTTTGGGAGTTCATTGCTCCGCAGGAGGCACCCGAAGTTGCCTCTGCAACCCCAAGCTACCACCCTAAACCCTAAACCCTAAACCCTAAACCCTAAACCCTAAACCCTAAACCCTAAACCCTAAACCCTAAGCCCTAAACCCTAAACCCTAAACCCTAAACCCTAAACCCTAAACCCTGAACCCTGAACCCTAAACTCTAAACCCTAAACCAAAACCCTATACCCTAAGGCTCCGAGGCGCCGGTTTTAGGGGTTCAGGGTCCACAAGCCTTCTGGGCCCAAAGCTCTACCCGAAAAACATGGTGAAGTAGAGACGAAGAAATTTAGAGAGAGAGAGAGAGAGACAGCCTAGCGGCTATGTCTCCACTAAAATCGGGGCCATTTCCTTGTGTAATGATGTTGGGCCTTATGTGGGGCTTGGATCAAAGTTAAGTAGTACAGTAGGGACTCACACAGCAACCTTAAACCCTCGGCCCAAGCCCTCACGCGAGTAGCCGTATTATATCTGGGGCGATGTTAATCCCCACAGGCCGTGGACCTGGTGTGCCACTACTCGTACCTGGAGGCGGCCGCAGTGGTTTTAAATCCTAACCAAAACCCAAACAACCCTTGACCCTTGACCCTCAACCCTAAGGTTTGGCTTGGTGGTTTTGGGTTTCGGATATATATATATATAATATACAAATATATATATATATATATATATAAAATGTATATATATATATATATATATATATCTTTGCTTCTGCTTCGGTATGCTTTCGTCGGGGAAGGGCAGGCTTGAGGGTTTAGGGTCTAGGGCCTAAGGTTGAGGATTTAGGAGGGTTTAGGGATTAAGGTTTACTTACTGGTTCTTCTTCGGGAAGGAGGGAATAAAAGGATCCTACAGAATGCCTTAGAGAATATCAGGTCCTCATCCCCCACTCAGAACCAGTAGGTTTAGGGTTTTGGGGCTTAGGTTTGGGGTCACAACAGTGATAAGAATAACGCCACGACCACCACCGCCACCGCCACCACCGCCACCGCCACCGCCACCGCCGCCACCGCCACCGCCACCGCCACCACCACCACGACGAACTACTGGTCATGATACTAATACGACCACGAACAGCCATGACAATAACACTATCTGGGATGATGGTCTACAGCCCCAGACATAAAGGGAATGTGGGCTCTTGGCATGTGTACTTTTGGGGGTTCAGGGCCGGGTTGATGTTTAGGATGCGATCCCCAAGGCATAAATGCCGTGCATCTCCCGGGTGCATCTGGCGAAAAAAACCCCGAGCCCTAAACCCTTTGTGGGAAACTTTAGGGCTTTTAGGGTTTAGGGTTTAGGGTCCAGGGTTAAGTAGGATATCCCGAGTCAGAGTCCCCTGTCAGGGTACTTCTAGTTCACGACAAGCTCAATTTTGTACCTACTAAGTAGGCAGGGGTTTCGGGTTCCCCCCCCCCCCCCCCCCCGCCCCACAAAGCAACACCGTCAACCTCCTCGAAACTCCCCCACCCTAAGCCTTAAACCCCAAAACCCTAAACCCTAAACCCTAAACCCGAAACCCGAAACCCTAAACCCTAAACCCTAAACCCTAAACCCTAAACCCTAAACCCTAAACCCTAAACCCTAAACCCTAAACCCTAGAAACCCTGAACCCCAAACTGAAAGCCCCAACAGGCGCAGCAAGCCGCGGATTTTTTGGCGAAGGAGCGGGGGCGGGTTGTGGCTCTACGTGGCTTGGGGTTTAGGGTTTAGGGTTTGGGGTTTAGGGCTTAGGGTTTAGGGCTGGTTCAAAGGCCTAGATACTCCAAGCCCCGAACTCTCAACCCTCTAAGCAGGATTCAGTGTTAGGGATGTAGGAGTTCAGGGCTTCAAGCCTCACGATCCTTTAGCCTCAAACCCTAGACACTAAACTGACGGTAACGGGGCTGTCGCCACAGATGGCTACGAAAAGGACTTAGGTATGGGTGCAAAGTGGAGGTTTGGTTTTTGCTTTTCTGGGAAAGGGGAACAACAGGACATGTGAATACAACACCACGAGCGTTCAAGACACATCTTGTTTCGCGCATGTTCAAGTAGGAAAGGCAAGGATAAACCACAGCACGTCAATACTGCGCATTAAACAAACCACTAGCAAAGGTCCCTCTGCGCGTGCTCGCTGTTCAGGGTGACATTGTGGCGCACCCCCTTGTCCCGGTCATGTTCGCTTCTCCCCAGCCGATGCTCCGGCTAAACCTAAAAACCTCCGGTTTAGGGTTTAGGGTTTAGGGTTTAATCAGGGTTTAGGGTTTCAAATTTCGGTCTTGGGGTTCCCACAGCACCCAGAAGCCACAATTTGCTAGAATGGCTCACCAACGCTGAGGGACTTGAAGGCTTCGGGTTACTGGGGGGGTGGTGGGGCGGGCGGTTACTAGACCGGATTCGTCAAGGGCCCAGATCAGGACCTGAGAGGGTCGAGGGCCCCACATTTCACGCATGGTCAGCGCGGTTTCGGGCTTAGGGTTTAGGGCTTAGGGTTTAGGGTTTAGGGTTTAGGGTTTCCTTCAACACACGAGCCCTCGGAGGAGGCTTGGGATCGATGGATCCGGGAGGAAGGCGGCGCAGTCGTCGACGACATCACGGCCCCTTTGCCTGGGCACCGGGTTTAGGGTTTGGGGTTTGGGTTTAGGGTTTAGGGTTTAGGGTTTAGGGTTTGGGGTTTGGGGTTTTTGGGCTTTTAGGGTTGAGGGTGTAAGTTTAGGATTTCGGGGGGTTTATGGTTTTGGGCGAGTCGGTTTAGGGTTTAGGGTTTGAGAGTCGAGAGTGTTAGGGGGCTTTAGAGTTTGTTTCGGGTTTACGGTTTATGGGTTTAAAGGGTTCAGGGTTTTAAGGGTTTAAGGTTTTAGAGTTTTAAGGGGCGTCTGTTGCTTTTAAGTGTTGAGGGTTTGGGGAGTTCAGGGTCTCGTGTTTTGGGCGTTCATTTCGGTTTTCAAAGGTTGTTGGGTCGCAGGTTGCTCCGGGTGTCTCGTTGGGCGCTTTTTTGCTCGGACCTTTCGAGAGCTCCAGCCTTCTCTTGGTTAGGGTGGGCAGGGACAGGGAATCCAACAGGATGGGTAGAGGCTTGGGAAGGGGAGGAGGAGGGAAGGATGAGTGGAGGGGGGGGGGGGGTGGAGGCGAAGGAGATTGTTGAAAGGGGGGTGGGTACGGGGTGGGTGGGTGGGTGGGTGGGTGGGTGGGGGTGGGTGGGTGGGTCGGAATGGGATATAAAAACGCACTCAACTCTCAACCGACCCCTAAAACCCTATTCTAATGATCACGGCCCGTATATCAGCCCATTTAGTATCAAGGGCATCTAGGCGGCTGCCTTAGTGCAGCTGTGAACAGCTAGGTAAGGGGCCTTCAGGGTTGCAGGGTTTAGGGTCTTAGGGCTGAACGTGCCTCCGAGGTGATCTTGGTGTACTTGAACCACTGAGTCTTGCTCCGAGACAGTGTGGGAGCTCTCTTTGAGTATCTTTGGGACTCCCGCACACACGAAGTTGTTTGACACAATTAGGTGTTTCACAACCCACCTATCCAATGCGATATGTCTTTTTCAAGGGCCTGTGTCGTCGAGCGGAGGGCAACACTGACCCCACAGAGGTCAGCAAACCAGGGGGTAAGGCTTTTTCTTCTCACAAGTCATTCCGTTTAGGGTTCAGGGTCTAGGGTCCAAGGTTTAGGGTTCGGGAAATCCGAAACACCTGAATCTGCCCGGTGGAGAGTTTCGAGCTGTCGCATCCTAGGTTCCTTGGTGGAAACCATTTCCCAGTAACCTCGAGTCACTTGACTCAAGTCCCTGGTTGCGGGGTCAACCCTAGGGTTAGGGTTTGGGGCTTGGGCTTCAGGGTTTAGGGTTTAGGGTTCAGGGTTTAGGGTTTAGGGTTTGGGGTTTGGGGTTTGGGGTCTAGGGTTTAGATTTTAGGGTTGAGGGTCTAGGGTTTCGGGCGCCTAGTCCGCAAGATGTACCGTTGAAGAGGCATGAACATTCTGCGGCCCATGCCGTGCTTGATTCGACTCGGCGATGCAGTGCTACCTGTCACAGCACTGATTGCAGCTTGACGAAGGAGTCAATGGACGAAGAAGTCAAACATGTACCTGCAGGTGCACGGAGCGCTGAACCCTAAACCCTAAACCCTGGACCCGAAGCCCTCTGTCCGGATGTTCAGATGTAGGGATTGTGGGGCTTCGGGGGTTTGGGGTTTGAGTTCCCTTAAACCCCAGCCCTAAACCCTAAACCCCAACCCTAAACCCTAACCCCGAAACTCTAAGTTCCTAAACCTAGACCCGAACCGGGTTCAGGGTTTAGGGACCCCTGGAGAGCCTGAATTCCTAAACCCCGAAGTGCGCCAAATCCAGGCTGCGTTGCTTCAGGCCCTCAGCCCCTAAACCCGAAACCCGAAACCCGAAACCCGAAACCCGAAACCCTAAACCCTAAACCCTAAACCCTAAACCCTAAACCCTAAACCCTAAACCCTAAACCCTAAACCCTAAACCCTAGGCCCTATATAAACCCTATGTAAACCCTAAACCGCTGCTTCCAACGTTGGGCTCGCAGAGATCATCAATAGCCCCTCGCCCGCGTGCACGTGCTCACGGGTGCTTCTTGGGCTGCCCGGCGTTCGAGGGTTTTGGGTTTAGGGTTTAGGGTTTAGGGTTTAGGGTGGAGAGTTTAGGGTTTAGGGTTTAGGGTCGAGGAGGCTTCTGCTGTGTTGTAGATGCTTTCTACCTGCCTGGTTGATCTGGCCGGTTCGGTGGGTAATGGTTTTTGGGTCGTAATTCGCAGACTTGGGAGCTTCTTGAGGTTAAGTTTCCCTCCCTAAGCCCTACGCCCCAAAGCCTAACCCTCTACAAGGTAGAATCACCCTGAAGAGGACCCAAAACGGCCATTGATTGTCGGAAACGTCTAGACGCCCGAAAGCTTCTGGAGACGAGTTACTTCGAAAAGGGTTTAGGCCCGTTTAGAGCATACCCTTTCGCGAGAGGCATGGGGTGATTCTCCCGCTAATCGTGACGAGAAGACACCCGATCGGCCAAAGAAACCACCGTCTTCTTCACCGCGATCCCACCATATCACCATATCCCAGGAGGAGTTCTTCTCCGAGCTACTCAAAACCTTAAACCCTAAACCCTAAACCCTAAACCCTAAACCCTAAACCCTAAACCCTAAACCCTAAACCCTAAACCCACAACCCTAAACCCTAAACTGGGTTCTTCTTCTCGTCGCTTGGGGAGACCGAAAGGGTTCTAGCGCTCAGGCTTTGGCTTGGGGCAGCCAAGGAAGCTCATACTTGCAAGGAAGTACGGTTCCCTTCATGTAGGGCTTAGGGTTTAGGGTTTAGGGTTTAGGGTTTAGGGTTTAGGGAAGTGCCCAAAGCGAAGGGCCCAACACCCAGGATCCAAGGTAGAATGATGCCAAAATCCTGAATTTCTTAACCCCGGCTGCCCGCAAAGCGCTTCAAGAAACCTTGCTGGTAGGGAATCCGGGACTTAGGTACCTTAGATATCACCCCTTCATGGGGTGTAAGAAGGGGATATCAGGTACCCTGGAGCAGTTAGAGCCCCCCCCGAGCCCTAAACCCATAAACTCTAAACCCCACACTTTAAATCCTAACCCCAAACCCTAAACCCATAAATCCTAACCCCTAAGCCCTAAGCCCTAAGCCCTAAGCCCTAAGCCCTAAACCCTAAACCCTAAACCCTTGAATTCTTGAAGCCTTTCGCAAGCTCTGCAACGAGGCTGCAGCCTGCGCGAAGCTGCGATGGCAACGGGCGTGTCGGAGACCTATGGGTGCTTGCGTTTGAAGGTATAGGATTTAAGGGTTTAGGGTTTAGGGTTTAGGGTTTCGGGTTAGGGGCTTCAGCCCTACAACCCCAAAGCTCAGAACCCTACACCTTAAAGCTTGATGGCGTCAGGGAGGGTTGGGGAGTTTTCGGGGCTTGGGGTTTGTTCATGACCGTGCCATCTCATAACTTTCAGCACATGCAACCCCAAAGCCCAAAACCCTATAAGGCCCCAAGCCTTGCCAGCCCGAAACCCTAAACCCCCAAAATCCCAAAACCCTACAGTCTCTGAACCCTAAACCCGAAACCCTAAACCCTAAACCCTACAGTCTCTAAACCCGAACCCTAAACCCTAAACCCTAAACCCTAAACCCTAAACCCTAAACCCTAAACCCTAAACCCTAAACCCTAAACCCTAAACCCTAAACCCTAAAACCCAAAACCCTAAACCTAAAACCCAAAACCCTAAACCCTAAACCCTAAACCCTAAACCCTAAACCCTAAACCCTAAACCCTAAACCCTAAACCCTAAACCCTAAACCCTAAACCCTAAACTCTACCACCCCTAAACTTCCCCCTTTCCTCGCTCCTTTCCCCCTTCCTTGCAACCGCCAGGTTCAACCTCAAGGTCTTGAACGACAACTGGTTCGAGGCCTTTTGAAGCCCTTGTGGGGTTCAGGGTTTACAGGGTTTAGGGTTTAGGGTTTAGGGTTAGGGTTTAGGGTTAGGGTTTAAGGTTTAGGGTTCAGGGTTTACAGAGCTTACACAGGGTGTAGGGTCCTTTTGGGCATGCCCTTGGCTGTTTTGAAGTTTGTTCCCTCGTTTTGTTTTTTTTTTTTACTTGGGGCTTTTGTTGGGTTGTTGTTTTTCTTTTTTGGATTTTAGCATTTCGGTTTTTTTTGGGTTTCGGGGTGTAGGGTTGAGGGTTTAGGGTTTAGGGTTTCGCAGCTTAGGGCTTTCTGGGGGGTCTTACGGCGACTTGCAGGATTGGGGGGTCTGAGGTTGGGATGTTCCCCCTTATACTAACAGTCCTTAGTAGGGACTGTATTTCGTAATACGATGATAATCCCTGTTAAGGACTGTTAGTGTAAGGGGGAACATCCCAAGGTCTGGGGTTTAGCCGGGTTTAGGGTCTCATAGGTGATCGTGAACAGCCGATACCTTCGCTTGGTATGGGATGCTCACAGCGATAAGGCCGCATGAGGTTTGTACAACCCTACATGCGAAACCCTAGACCCTAAACCCCAAACCGCCATTTTGGCTCAAGCGGTTTCCTATACAGGGCCGCGTTCATCAAACGCCTCACGGCATTGCAACAGGGCGCTTGCATTGGGGCTGCAGGTAGGTTACGGCTTGCCTGTCGACTCTTGCTTCTCCCCCTGTTCGCTCCACATTCTGCTTTAGAACAAATTGGAGCCTTTTCTGAGAAGGCTTGCAGCCGCTTCATCAGATTTGAGAAGACAGCCAAGGGCCCTGTCTAAACCCTAAGCCCTAAACCATACACCCCTAAACCCTACACCCCTAAACCCTAAACTCTAAACCCTAAACCCTAACGACCAATCCGGCTGCGGTGTGGTCACACATCACATTGCAAGCAGCTCCCAATTGCAATCCGTAAGGGCCAGACGAGACACCGCCACAAACCCAAGCCACCCAAAGGCTTAGGGTTTAGGGTTTAGGGCGAAGTTTAACACTCTAGAGCCCTGTGGCAGAAAGAAGGACAACCCCAACCCTGAATCCCTGAGAGCCTCAAACCCTTAAGCCCTGGAGCCCTAAAGCTCGAAGACCGGGAAAGGCGAAACCCTAAACCCTAAACCCTGAAACCCCTAAACCCTAAACCCCTAAACTCTAAACCCAAAACCCTAAACCCCTAAACCCTAAACCCTAAACCCTAAATCCTAAACCCTAAACCCCTAAACCCCTAAAGCGGAAAGAAGGACCGATGCCAGCCCTCCGGGTCTCTGTCGGCCACCACCGGCATCGACAAGTCCGGCGGCCTAGGGGAGGTTCCAAGAAGACTCAGGGTGAGTCCGCCCGGGCCCTAGACCCTAAACCCTAAACCCTAAACCCTCCACCCTAAACCCTAAACCCTAAACCCTAAACCCGAAGCCCTAAACCCTAAACCCTAAACCCTAAACCCTACCTTGGGCTTAGGGGTTTAGGGTGTAGAGGTACTCCCTTGCTCCCCTCAGGCTTCACCCGCCTTGGGCTGGGGGACTCGTTTCAAGATCACATAAGAAAACATCGGGTTGAGGGTTTAGGGTTTAGGGTTTAGGGTGTAGGAATGGGGGTTGAAGGTTGAGGGTTGAGGGCTGAGGGTTTAGAGATCCTGGGCCACATCAGGAGTGTCGCATGTGAAACGGGGTTCATATGACTGTGATTGGTTGCAGCGTATCTACCTATATATATATATATATAGATATATAGATATATTTGGTTTCCTTAGAAATATATTCGTGAACGTACATATGGGTTTCGGATTTAGGGTTTAGGGTTCGACACTGCACCATACATGGCGTGTCCTTGTGGGGATACTGGCAATCTGCTTTCCGGCGCTTAGCACACATCTAAGTATGATCATCGACCACGAGTCTGCACTACTAGCAAGACAAACATGCTTGAAGGTAGTTATAAGTAGGGTTATAAGGCAAGGTAACCTGTACTACAACCTTACTTAGGTACTTCTAACCCGACTTGTACCTACCCCATGAGCCTCGTAGCCCTGGACCCTAACCCGAAACCCTAAACCCCAAACCCTAAACCCGAAACCCTAAACCCGAAACCCTAAACCCTAAACCCTAGTCAAGGGAACCGTTCAGGGTACATCGTGCGGGGCATGAGTTTGGATGTGAGGGCATTTGCGTGGCAACAAGGGAGGTCACGCTGTCGGGGTTTGGGTTTGGGGTTTAGGGTTTGGGTTCGAGGTTTATGGTTTCGGGTTTAGGGTTTAGGGTGCTCGTGTTTCTGCTTCGGGGTTCATACATTGAGCCTCGCAAACCATGCCGAAACTTCTGGAAGCGCAAATACTGGACGCCTGCGTCCTCAGCTCGATTCAGCAAACCCCAAACCCCCTAGACCTTGTACCCAAAACCCTTTGTTTAGGGTTTAGGGTCTAGGGTTCTCCCCGAACCCCAAGCCCCTAAACCCTAAACCCTAAACCCTAAACCCTTCCCGATTTTTTTGCAGTTCGGAGGTGGGCTTGGTTTCTAGGGCCGGGGGTTTTTCCACAAGGAAGACAGCCCGTGGCTATGAGTCGGACCTGGCCTACATCGGGGAGAGGCCCCCTGCACGAGCGGAGCTTTCCATGTCGTTCAATTCGGCTTGAGTTGTAGAACCCTAAACCCCAAACCCCAAACCCCAAACCCTAAACCCTAAACCCTAAACCCTAAACCCTAAGCCCTAAACCCTAAGCCCTAAGCCCTAAGCCCTAAACCCTAAACCCTAAACATGGCGGGTAGGTACCTAGAGAACCTAAGGGAAGTTGAGGGAGCTTTTAGGAGTCTCAGGGAACCTTGGGCTACATACCCCAAACCCTAAACCCTAAACCCTAAACCCTAAACCCTAAACCCTAAACCCTAAACCCTAAACCCTAAACCCTAAACCCTAAACCCTAAACCCTAAACCCTAAACCCTAAACCCTAAACCCAGGCGTATCGGCTTTCAGCCTTCGCTGCAAGACATGGTGGGTTTCGCTTTCAGTTTGCACAGTCAATTTTCTGCCAGGCAGGGACCACTTCGCATGATGGTTTCAGCCGCGGCCTTTTTTTCGGGGTTTTGCCTTGTAGCCTCAAGGGCTACTACGCCACCCCAGTTTCGAGCCATGACGGATGGCACAGGGGCCGCAGAGAGCCTCATGGAGGCCAGGCGCGTTTACAGCGAGCAGGCCACCTTGGTACAGGGCCCAGCGTACGCCGCCTCACAGCAGTTGTTCTTCGAGCAGCGCAGGGTTGCCAAGCGCGGTCCCCCGACACCGGCCTTTTCCTCCACGGGGCTGGCCACCCCAACCGGAGACACCTTTGGCCCAACGGCTCCAACCGCCTCAGGGAGTACTCCGCCGGCAACGCAAGACACTGGTCTTTTCCAGCCCATGCACTACCAGCAGGAGACGGCCTTTGTAGCCACAGCCCACTCCGCCGGTGTCAACGCAAACAACCCGACAGATATGGCCCTATGGATGAAGGAAACGATTTCCACCAGGGCGCAAGTCCTGGACACCATCCGGCATTACCACACCGCCGTGATGAGGCAGCATTGGTCTCGCTGGACGATAGACTACTACGCCAATCCAAGGAGTTAGCCTGGATGGCTTCAGAGAACAGAGCCCTCCAAAAGCAAAGTGCTGCACTCATGGTCATTTTGACCGGCTGGGATACGAGCATGTCGCCCTCCGAACGGCTCTTCATGGTCAATTGGATGCTCGAGCAGATCACCCACGTCCAGGCCTTCTTGCAGCAGAGGGGGTGGGCCAACTTCGACGGCGAGTACAAGTACCTCAATGTCCTCTCTGCAGACCCGTCTACTCCGCCGGCAGGGGCACAGAAGTGGAGCTCGGTCACGCTACTCAGCTTCAAATCCTGGGACCTGAGAAAGGCGTTCATGGAGGCATATGGTGGCACTCAGGGTACCCCACTGTACAAGGATGCGCGCACTCCAGTACCCCGCCACCATATCAGGGCTACACCTTCGAGCCCCCAATTCCAACGAAAGTTGGAAATTCCAATCCGAGTACTCCTCCAAGCCCTCAACCTCAAGGAGGAGGCAGCAAAGGGCACGGGCAAGGGGATGCTTGCTGGAAAGGGGTCCCGTCACTGGACGGCCCCGATGATCTACTCCGCCAGCTCGATGCCTTACCCGATCGACCTCGAGATCAGACTGGTGTCCCAAGTGGCCTACGTTTGGGATGAGTATTGTGATAAGTTTGGCGAAAACAGCCGCAAATGCGGCGACTACCGCCAGGCTACTTTTTCCGGAGCCCCGGTTGCGGCTACTCCGCTTCTCACGGCCCCCACGGCCTGAAGGGTTCCGGCTCGAATTCGCGATCTAGCCAGGGAGGTACGTACCTCTTTTTATCTCCAGGCTACTGCGCCGCTCCCCCACAATTTCAAGGTACTCCTCGAAGGCAACTTCACATTTGAAACTTTCTTAAAGGAATTGCTTCGAGATGTTTTAAGTCAGGGGTTGAGCAGGCCTTCCACCCACAACCACCCCGCCCCCCATATGATAAGACTTTACCCTTTCAGAGTTTCCAGGTTTTTGGGTGCCCCGGGTGTTGCACGATCGCGGTCGCACGCTGAGTTTGTAGAGGTCGCCAAACAAACCCTCACAGCTAAAGACCTGCAGTGGGATATGAGGGTTGTTCGTAGAAGCCGAAAGAGACCCAATAAACTCCCAACTAATCCTCACCTTCAGGCTTCATGCACCTACATTATCATCGCCTTCTTATGCGTCTTTTACTACACCTCAACCACTAGATCCTCTTTCCCCATTGTCTTTATGGACTCTCTGGTAGTTCATTCTACAATATGTTCACTTATCAAGTATGGGATAAGCCAGTGGGAGATTCTGCAACAGCTACTCCGCAACAAATTACAACACATCCAAAACGGGAACACAACAACATTACAGCTAGATCTTCTGATTCCCCACAAGTACACTGAATACCCTCAACCCACTATGGAGTACAGCTTCATTCATCAAGCCAAGCTTAGCCGTGATTTTCTCCTTTCCCAACGACCCATTAGCCCCCCAAAGCTTCCCGAAAATTCCCCTTTCCCTCAACTCACTCCCAGACCCAAAATAAGAACGGGTAGGAGAGTCTCTTTTCGTTTCACAGATGGTCGTAAGGTAAACTACACCCGAAGACCACTCCGCCATTTTTCGGCCAGCCGGCCCTTCCGCCCACCAACGAATTCACAGAAGGATAGGCCAACACCGCCTCCACGAGGCACGCCGGGACCCGGGCAACCGGGAGACGAAGAGTGTATCACCCCTCCCCCCCCTTCTTCAGTCCACCCTCTAGGTTTGGGTGCCCGCTCTAGACGCCTTCGACGGCAGCTTTTCCGCCGTTGGCGCAGGAGCGTGGGTGGGCCTATATTACCAGAAGCGTCGGGCAGCGCACTGGTAAAAGGGGGGGTGCCCTTGAAAGCAGTCAAAAGTAGGCGCCAAACCGGGGTACGAAATTCGTACCTTTTCAAAACCCTCATACTAAGGCCTGAACAAATCGGCAAGCAAAAAAAGGCTACTCCGCCAGCAGTAGCCCCACCACCCTTGCCGTATGGACAACCTTTTCAAATAGGTACACAAAACGTACAGGGAATGGCCGAAATACTAAAACACCAGTCAGTCCTCACTTTACTCCGTAGTAGAAAGCTTGACATCCTTTTCCTCACCGAAACACGAAACACAACATACCACCAATTCACCTCAGAAGGGCACAGGTTCATTAGCAATGGCAGTAACAAGGACAAGTTCGCAGGAGTGACAGCAATCATTCCCCCCCAGACTCTACCACACCTCAAAGATGTAGTTCAGCATAGTGCGAGGATCCTTCAAATCACACCAGCAGCATCGGCCGGAGATGTTCACCTCATAGGAGTCTACTCCCCACACAATAAAAGAGATGTTGAAACTAGCAAGCTCCCCTTCTGGGATAAGCTAGACTCGGTATTGCACAAAATTCCTCAACCAGAGCCGGTTTATATCATAGGGGATTTCAATGTGAGACTACAAGGTAGAAAACCAGATGAACATCACATGTTGGGCCCCAATGTATATGGTAAGGGAAGACTCAGTATACCAACCACAGAAGGTAACAACAGAGAGCTCTATCTGAGATTCCTGAGTACCTCTGAAGCTAAGGATGTTCTAACCTACAAGCAGAGTAACCTTCTGAAGCACATCACATACCGAGATAAATCCCCCCCCCATTAGATTGGCTCACGTTCTCTAGTGACCCCATAGGATGGCTACCAATTTGGGATAGATTTCAAAGCTTGCCCCAGTCAGAAAATGAGAACCTAAAGGTCGCAGGGAAAGTCAGGGATTACCTCACTTGCTACTCCGCCTTAGTGCACGAACAACAACGACCAACCATCGACCCGCACAGATTCCAGGCACTGGACCGTTTGGTCACCAGATCCAAATGGTTACCTACGGTTCAACAATGCCAAGCAGTTCATAGCACAGGATTTGTTAGTGACCATTATCTTCTAGAATCAGTCATTCGGGTTAAACTCAAAGCCCAACCACCCTCCACAATCAAACCTCCTGCAAGAGATTACTCCACCATAGACTACTCCGCTAAAACCCTGTTCAATCACACGTTTAAAAAATGTACCAAACACAAATCAATACCCAATCTCAACACAACTGACGCCAATTGGGCAGTATACACGGATGGTTCGGGAAGCAAAGGCCGTTGCTCGGCCACTACTCCCGCAGGCTGGGGCTACACAATCATAACAACCAATCAAGATTCAATTGCCTCAAAAGGTCCAGTCAGCACTGATCCACATGCAGCAGTTCACCTAGGAGCGACAGTAGGTAGTAATAATACAGGAGAGCTAAGCGCCTGGATGGAAGCGGCATTGTACATACTAACATTGACCACTCCGCCTAAACAAATTTCCTTCTACTACGACAGTCGTTGGATGTCAGACGCTGTTAGGGGTAGAGCTAAGGCTAAAAGACACAAACCATGATTAAATATGCACGTATCTTATTGGCAGAGTTGCAAAACCGCACCACAGTAGATTGGTTTTGGGTCAAAGGCCATTCAGGAGACCACTTTAATGAAATAGCGGACAGGTTAGCAGAAGAAGGAAAACAAATACCTGACCCAGTGGGAGGTAGGCACGACATCACCCCTCTTCTCACCCCCTCGGAGTTCATTGAACCAGTACAATCTACTGACCACTCCGCGTTGGAACGCCTCAATTCCACATTAGTACGAGCTCTGCACAAAGCTGAGTCGCAACACATACCACTACTGAAACGCAAGCCCAAGCAGCCCTGGATGACGCAGGAACTACTACAACAGTTCCATGAAGTTAGGCACCTAAAATCCATTGACCACTCCGCCCATATCAAAAAACACAAACTACTTAAAAAACAGGCCCGTAAAATCAAAAGGGAATGGACACGCGAGCAGTTGCTTACTGACCCCAACCCGTCACACACCAAAATCTGGAAACAAGTCCAGAGCTTCAAAAAAGGATTTAGAGCTAGGAGAACCAGACTAAAAGTTTCAGGCACACCAGTCCCATGGACGAACACGCACAAAATCTTTAGAGATCACCTCCAAAACAACCAGTGGTCCCCGCCGGACGTCACCGAGGAGGAAATAGAACTACTCCGCTCTTCCCCCCCGCTTTACAAGACCGACGAACTTGACCCCCTTCCTTTTCAACATGAAGAACTCTACGCTGCCATCCAGGGTATAAGAAAAGGCAGGGCCCCAGGACTAGACGGCGTAAAGGGAGAAATAATATTACTCCTCGACCGCTACGGTGAAACCCAGCTACTCCGCCTTATGAACGCTTGCCTCAGAGCCAGGAAGGTCCCCTCTTCATGGAAAGAAGCGCTCGTGGTAAGTATCTACAAGGGCAAGGGATCAGACTCAGACCCCTCCAATTACAGGCCGATCTCCCTTCTAAACACGTTTTACAAAATCTACTCCGCCATGCTGCAAAAAAGACTAGCCACTAAACACGACGCACAACTACGCTCCACACAATACGGCTTCCGTGCAAAAAGAAGTACAAAACAGCCATTGTTTATCCTGCGCAGGCTCCAAGATTACTCCGCCAAAACAGGTCAGCCTTTCCAACTTCTCTTCTTAGATTGGAAGCAAGCGTTCGACAAAGTTAGCCACCCCGCCATGATGGTCGCCCTTAAAAGATTAGGAGTGCGCCCCACTTACATTGAAATCATAACAGACCTCTACACCGACCCCCAATTTTGCACTCAAGGATTCTCTCAAGAAAAAAGTTGGGGCACGCCTAAAAGTGGCATACGACAGGGCTGTCCACTCAGCCCTTACTTGTTCATCATGATCATGACAGTATTGTTCCACGACATCGACGCTCGGCTTAGGAGCGAGGGTACACCGCAAAACACTTGGTCAATAGGCAAGCCCATTTATGATCTAGAATACGCAGATGATACTCTTCTAATGGCAGTCACGGCACCACAACTCGAATCATTTTTGGCATGCGTACAGGTAGAAGCATCTTTATATGGATTACAACTCAATTACACGAAAACCGAACTACTCCGCCACCCCAGCGCACAGGCAGACATCAGCTTTGCCGATGGCACTCCAGTGCCTGTAAGCGATCAGGTTAAATATTTGGGCTCTAGGATCAGCTGGACTACTCCGCCAAAAATCGCTATTCAGCATAGAATGGAACTAGCTCACTCCTCATTCATGAAGCTCCAACACATATGGCAAAGTAAACTACCCATTAAAGTCAAAACCCACATCTTCCATAGCTGCATTGTTCCTGTCCTGCTATACTCCCTGGATGTCCTCATACTAGAAACCCACTCCTTCAAAAAAATCGACGCCTGGTACCATAGGTATCTTAGACTCCATTAAAATCAAATCCTCGTACTACTCACACATATCCAACCAGAAGGTTTGGAAAATTGCAGGCAAGCCATATTTGCCCTCCCAAACACTGCTGGCGCAACAATTTGGATTACTCCAGAGCTCTATATTAGCAAGCCCCCAGGACCCCATTCACCATGTAGTGTTCTCTCCCGGATACAAGGACCGAATCAGATTTACTAAGGCCCGCACAAGAGGACACCCCTGTAGATATTGGTTTGAACTAGTTTCCACGGAAGCAGTAAGGTTTTATAACCACCACTCCGCCACAGACCCAGAAGCCCGAAGGGACTTCCTGGGCCTAAAA